CGGGTCTTTTCAAAAATTCATAAAGATCCTCCACTTTACCTTTAATCAAGTAAACAAGCAAGAAACATAAAGAAAACCAGTTCTGTATGCCTGAAATGTTGTAACAGGATAAGCAAAAAAGTAAGATGGACTTAAAATCATCGGTCAAACCTACAGTCAGTACAGCACGACCCTGCTTTCCAGAGGGGAGTCAGAGGAAGCGTGCATATTTTAAGAAGAGCAGTGATTGTTTGCAAGATAATTCTCCATCTCATGCAGCAGAGTGTTCCAGTGTGCAGCAGTACTCATTAAGAACTTACAGCTCCTTCTTGAGAGGTTTCCTGGGGCTTCCCAGGAGGCTGGGTTCTGCTGCACAATAATTTGTCCAGGGGACTGACACTGCATGGAAAGAAAGCTTTCCCTAGTATTGAAAAAAATGATGCTTTATGTGTCTCAAAATGTCAGAAGTGTTAATTTATAAAATTCTTCACATTAAAGATGAAAACAAACAACTGACATTGGATTCGTAGAAAATTCAGACATGTTGTACTTGTATTTATATAGTGCTTTGTTAATAGACGTACTTCATAAGACAGTTAAAACCTCACGTTTCTTTAATGCTTTGCTGAGATCTTTATTTGCATTTAGGATGGAATGCCAATAAAGGTTTGCACTCCTTCAGTATGTAAATCCCCAAAACTACAACTTTAACTGAAAGTGTGACTGAGATGCAGTACTTAAAGTCATTATCAAAGCCAGCTTTGACAAGCTTTTGGCGCCCTCTCCTGGAGCGGTCATCCTATTATTTTTCATTTTCAGATAATCAACTTTTTGAATCAGGCAATGTATTTTTTAAGTCTCACTGGAAGAAATCATATAGCCAAATGAAGCTTACACACACACATGTTGTGTCACAATATCCTTGTGGGGACCTTCCATTGACTTCCATTCATTTCCCACTAATTTATATGGCCTAACCATGACCCTTGCCCTAACCNAATCATGCTGTATGAATCTGTTTTTTTTATTTATTTTTTTTTACATACAAAAGTAAATGTTGGTTTTTTTTCTCACCCTTATGTAGAGCCTATATCCAGGCCATTCATCCACATGGAGTCCTCATCAGTGCTGGAGCTTACTGAAAACTTTGTCCTTAACTGTTCCCATGACAACGGAACCAGGACCACGTATAAGTGGTTTAAAGGTGGGAAACCCTTGACCAATGAATCGAGGTTTGTGTTGTCACCTGATCAGAAGTGGCTGACCATCCCCCGAGTGCTGATGACTGATGAGGATATCTACAGCTGCACGGTGGGGAACCCATTGGGCAATATGAGCAGCCTGCCAATCAGACTGGCCGTATACAGTAAGTATAGAGGCGCTTATGATTATATGCACATAATGTTTGTTTTTTTGTTTTTCTACAGGTGCAACATTGAAAAACTATTTGCAAAATTATTACACAATGGAGTAAACAATATTTTTGACTCCTAGAAGTCAAAATTTGAAAATATTTGGCTGTGATCCCAGTACAAAACATTTTGTGGCAAATTCCATAATTGAAGAGGGAGAAAAATGGAGGTTAACTGCCAAGGATTTCTGAGGAGAGTTTTCCAATTCTTCATGGAAATATGAAGAACTGTACTATGAGTCAGATCCCAGCACGGTGAAGGTGGAATACAGATATGGGCCAGTATTATTCAAGATGACGTACTTTGAAGCATGCTTAAAATGTTAAAGGTATAGTGGAGGGTGTTAATTTTCCAGGTGGATCATCAAAATAAGCGTTCCTCCTAACTGTCAATCGTTCTGGTGATTTGTTTACGTAACGCCGTCCTACGTGCTCATCCCCGTTTTCACTTACCGGTGGTGAGTCTGACATAGTGGAAAAATTGCAAATCTACTTTAGGAAAGTAAGCTATGAGCGTTGCAAATAAAAATGTTTAAACAGAGCGTGCACGAGGAGAAATAGGCCCATGCACGCACATAATAGGAATTCTCTCTCGGGAGCGGGTACAGGGTTGTGCATGTGCAATTTTTTTTTTTTATTACACTGCAAAAAATCCAAATCTATCTAAGTCATTTTTTCTTAAAATAAGTGCATTTGTTCTTGAATTGAGGAGGTAAAAGAAACATTTTGCCAATGGAAC